GAGCTCTGGAAAAACTCTGGAAATTAATCTAAAACTTGGGTCAATTAGAAGTAAGGAAGGCAACAGCTGAATATTAGAATAGTTTGTGTTGATTTAATTTTCTGGATTGGTACTTTCTCTTAGAAAAGCACAATGAGGAGTTGCTCCTGCTGAGAATGTGAGTTTGTACTCACATTCTTGGTCACCCCCCAAAATTGTGTTATATGTCAGCTCTCTGCATCAGTGTTTAGAGAAGTTTGGAGGTTTAGAACTGAAGTTTTAGCTAAATTAGAAATGGTATGTTTTTAAGTGCAACCAGGGACAGAGGTAGAGACAGTTTGTAAAATGCATACTCAAGGCAATGGCCAGATAGGCGCAGTATTGAAAGTTACTATTCAGTGCTGCCTCCTATTTATTTAGAATATGAAATAAAAATCTCCTCATTCGCTGAAGAGCTGTTGCAAAGAGATACAAAAAAGGTATGGAAATCCCTTGACAAATCTTTACACAGGAGGTGATGATAAACAAACAGGACCTAATACCTAGCACAATGCCTTTGTAGGACATGTTTTATTAACAGCTTTGTATTTTTGCTTTTCCTGTCAGGTGAATCCTTTATTCCCAAACCTCTCATTGCAGATTTGCTGTAAAATATAGCTGTCTATTTTTAATCAGAGTATGGGGAATGGATACATGTATCCAAAAGCATTAGCAGGTAATACTCGATATCTCTGAAGGCGCATTTATTGAATACTTCAATTTGATGGTGAACTCAAATGACTTAGTTTTGCTGTTGATGTATCATGATATTATTCTCATACACTGATGCAGGTTTATTCGTTGTCTGCCAAGAGCAGTATATTGTAGCCTTTTCACATGGGGAGAAAAGGCAATATTTCTTTTTTGTTACTTGTAGCTCTCAGATAAGGCAAAAGACAATGTATTATTTAGGAACCTGGTGCAACCAGTTCTGCTCTCAGTGTGCCAGCTGATAACACTGTAACAGACTGCGCATATGGCTCTTTACTCAGGAATGACATATTACTGCGCCAGACAATGGGGAACACTTAAATAGGACCGCATTTTCAGAAAGGGAGCACTCAACACTTCCTGAAGGTCAGAGTTTCAGGTATCTAAAGAAAGAAGACAGCTAAAATAAATAAATTTCTGAAAATGTATGTCTTGTTCTTTTAGAACAATTAAAAAAATTCAGACTTTTTCAAGAATTTTAAGACTCATTTTGAAGGCTACTCTGTAAGAGTAAATATATCAGTAATGGGAAATGTAGCTGTAGATTTCTTTTAAAACTGTACTTTTACATATAGCAACACATAGACATTGTGCCATTAGCAGGTCAGGTTTCCAAGGCTTTCAGAGCCTGTTTTATATTAAAGCTATAGCTTAAGTAGGAGCATGTTTCAGTGCAGTTCGTTTGTTAAATGAAAGAATCTAGAATTGTGAATCTTAAACTTGGGTGAACTGCTGGGATCCATTTAAGTTGCTTTTTACAAAAGCTTTCTGCACAGTTGGCCTTTGCAAGCTTTTGAGATAGCTGAGTGATATTGCTGCATCAAATGGGAGATGGAAATGGAGCCTTTTTCAGTAGCACATGGTTAGTTTTGATTATATATCTTACTATGTGTTTTGGCAACAATTTGCAAGTGTTGTATAAGCCATACATATTCCTGGAATAACTCAGCTAGTAGTTATCTCTGAGGACACATCTTCTCTAAAAATAGAGTGACAGATTATATGTACATAAAGTTGAATTTTAACTGAAAAAAAAATCAAATCTGATGGTATTGCTGTGAGGAGAGGTGGAAGATGATGGGAATTCCAGCTATTATGGAAACAAAATTGATTTTTCAGAAGACTATTACTACTATTTTTTAAAAATTGTCATTGTTCTAGTCTTATACTCTGCTGATACACGAGGAGTCTTGGCCACCATTATGAAAATTTCACAGTGTAAATTACAGAGAGTGCAATAAATCATTGAAACATAGTATAATATGTAGAAAATAGTATACAATAAGAAGGCTGCACAGATCTTGAATACTCTCTTTCATGTTGACTAGCATTGTAATGCATTATGGTAGAGCAAATGGTAAATATACTAGTGTTATTTGTAATTTATATTATTTTTACATATCTTCAACTTAATGGATTTATTCACGTTTTAAAATGAAAATGTGGCTAAGTTACTCTGAACATATAAACTCAAAACACTGCCCTCTAGGATAAGACAAACTTAATCAACCTTGAGGAGTTAAGAGTTGCATTATCTGAACTACTGATAGGAACTATAGTCTCTTCCACATAGGTAGAGTGGGCACAAATTAAAATGTGCATGAATAAGAGTCAATTAATGCAAATAGTCTCAGAAAGCACATGTTCCTGTCTGTTATTCTCTGAATGCTTCCTGTTCAATTGAATATATGACCTGCTGGATAATAATTTAATGATGAAATGGTTAATTGGCAGAAAAAAGCACAATCCATTTTGGATTCTTACTTGTTTGCCCACTGTATTTTTGACTGTCCTGTTTCCTGAGAAGATTTACCTATACAGCAACTCATGGGTCAAGTGAGGAAATCCATTGTAGTTGCTGAGACCTTAAAGCAGCCATTTCCTGTAAGGTACTTAATTTTGATAATGTGACTAACTTCATTTCTTGTTGCTTAGATTAACTGATCTACCAGTCTGCTTTGAATTTGAACAATCATGGTAAATCTTGTTTCCTAAAGTACTGGGAAATAGTACAGAAGCTGTTTTAAACTGCCCTGGGATGGTGCCTAGTATAAGTTCACTTCAGTTGAACACTTAAGTGCTAGTCTCCCAGCTTAAGACCAGTCTCCCTTTTCTGTGCTTACTGACATAGTTGCTTCACCCCTTTTTCCTATAATTGATGACATATCAAGCCATTCCAATGAGTCTCTTCACAGATAGTTGTAACATTTTTCACTCAATGTGGTTTCCCTTGGTTTTATGAGCTGAACCCTTCAAATGAGCATGAAAAATAGAATATTTTTCTTCTAATTTTATATATATAAAAAAAAGATGGGGATAGACACAGCTCAGAATTGCCATTCAGGCACAGCTCCAAGCATAATGGGGTTAGTGCACCAAGCAAGGTGCTGTAATTTGGAGTCTTACGTAAGACTAAAATGACAAATGCTAGTAGCTAAGGTCAAAATTCTGTATTGAAGTGTAATAAATTATAAAGACAGTTAAATATACGCACTAGAAAGAGGAATCAAAGACTCAAGATATATTTGTAATTAAAGATGTCTATTTTAAGTTTTATCTGATTTTGAATACACTCTCATAATTTATGAAGCTGTATGTTCTGATGTCAAGAAATTAAGTGGGAACTGTGAACCTAATAGCTTTATAGTAAGAAAATCTACATCCCAGTTACAAACGCGAATTGATTGGTAAATCTGCTTTGGAGATCTGCTGGGATTCAGTGGATATCACCAAAGAGATGAGCATTTCAGACCAATAATGACTGTCTACTTTCAGCATCTTTGGTAAAATCAGTTGTACAGGTGGGTAAAGAAAGAGCATGCTTGCATTGAAGGGTGTAGTTAATATGAGAACCAACCCCTCACTTGCAGTCTTGTGGTCCTTCCCACCTCTGGGTAGCACTAAGTAGCAGAAGAAATGCCATTGTCTCCAGCTAAATTTCTTGTGTTAGTGACAGCACTTGACAGTATTAATTTAAAAATTAACTAAAGATCTAGACCAGGTCAGGCATCTAGTGACCTAAGTCCTTAGACTATATGCATGACTACCATCTACCTCCTTTTCCCTTTACTGTATTCTCAGAAGTATTTCTTAATCTCCTGTTATAGTAATCCAAACTCATTTGGTCCACAAGATTTAATGAGAATACTGCTTCTCACCCTATTGCTGGCTGACAGTGGAAAAGTGGCAACTCTCAGAAAGATGGCTAGTGCTGGCAGAGTACGTCCAAACTTGATTGACATTATTGGACATGAGAGATGTCATGAAAAATAATCGAACTGTCACAGAAACAGAAAGCATATGGATGCCTGCATTTTTGTTTATACAGTACACTCGTACACTGGGTCTTATTTTGTTTGCAAGCTTTTATGTATGATTTTTGTTAAAGCTCCAATTTAGTTATCTTCAGCTGGTATTTTATAGCAACAGTCTGACAGGAAGGCTTGTTAATCAGACATCATTTTGTAAACAAAGAAATCATATGCTATATAAAATAAATGATAAGGAATTGTGAATTACAAGGGTATCTTGGTACTGAGTTTTGGTGACCTTATGAATTATGGCAATGAGTTCTAAATGGATTATGAAGTAACCAGAACTCAGGAATAGCATCACACTCTGATAAAAGTGGGTTTCAAAAAAGCTCATTGCAGGATATGACTTTTAAGTTAGATAATTCTTATTCCAGCTTCCTATTTCCCTCTCTCTTATTTAACCTCCCTTGTCTTTCATAGCTTTCTGTGAATAAAGTGATTATGAAATAATGTAAAAAATAATACAGTGAAGGAGCATATATAAAACAATGAGTAATAAATTAATGGCTGAATGATGCACCAGTCCAGGCTGAATGATATACCAATGCAGGTAAATTTTTCTAGTATATTCACATTATAACCAGAAATACTTTATTTATGACATGTTTTTGTAATAAATACGTATTTCTAGATGACAGAATAGTCTGACTTTGTAGCTTGCTCTTCAACAGTAAGGAGGATATGGCAAACATTCACAGTGTTTAAAAGGAACAGTAGGGAAACAAACTCTTGTGAAACGAGGATAGGTCTGACCTAGGTACAAATCTGTAATGAACTTGAGAAGAACCAGTTTCTTGTGTTCTGGAGCATCTACCAGGTACCCAAATACTTCATTCATGCTTGTAAAAGTGTACTTAAAACCATATAAGTAACCTTAGAAAGCTGTAGGAATTAAGTGATAGATTTATAGTGATTGTGTGCTATTTTGATTGTTAATATTGTAAAGACAGTACTAACCTGATCTGAAGCCATGTTAGCATCGGTGTTGTGCCCCCACCAAATACCCAGACTGTGAAAAGCACGATAAGCAGTGCTGTTGTAAACATCATCTGTTTGGGCTGGGATTCTGTGTCTTGAATAGCCAATGCAAATGCTATTGCACCACGTAAACCTAAAAAAAAAGTCAAGAATTATAAACTTAATGTGATGGAAAACCAGAATTTTACTCTTTTCAGCCTAATCTTTATTCCTAGGGCAGAAGAAATTTTCAGACCATGATTATATTTATAAAATGCTGAATTGTCCTGATTGAGAGGATGGTGCTTACTGCAATGTAAGCAACTTTGCAAAAGTGGACAATGAAGATTCACATAATATTCACTTTCTTTACATCCAAGGAATTCTTTGTGTTGAATAATTGCAAATGGAACGGTAATGAAAACTTTAGGCATGTTAAAAAAGAAATCTATTCCCTGTGTTGATTTACTGACTTCAGTGGGACTACTCGTGAAATCAAATGCAAGTGAGAAAGAGTGTTGGCATTAAAATTGGTACCCAAATAGGTTACCCATTTTTTGCTTCAAAAAATAGATTTCTTTAAAATTTTATTAAAATATTCTAATGTGTTAAGAACAGTCAGAAAAATAACGACTTGAAACCAATGCTTCTTAAAAGAGGATTTTAAGTATTTAAAAAAGGGGATACAAAATAATTGTAGATTTTTAGCTCTTAATGTACTTGAAATATTGCAGTAGTTGTAAAATTATACACCCACAGAGACTTGAATAAACAAAACCTTACAAACATGGAGAAAATAATTAACGAGTTTAAAAAAAGCCCCATAGGTAGTAATAAGCTGACTAAATAGGTCCTCACAGACTGATACATTTTAAAAAAGAGGGGAAAAAAAGCCTGCTAGTGCCTCCAGCCCTCAGGATCCATAAAACAAATAATACTCTATATTTCCCAGTGTTTTTCGTGTATCTATTTAAATTTACTTTATAGTTTTCTAAAAAAAAAGTAATCCACAAAAGAAGTCTAGAGATCAAAGCCATTACATGTATACATTACACACTGAATCCAAAATGTACTTTGCAAGTATTGAGAGAATAAATCTAGTAATTAAACCTCTTGTAAAGCACTGATGGTATATGCAGAATGATTTAATCAGCTGCTAAATGCAGCTATTTTTGAAATAGAACTTTAAAGCTTTTTAAGATTACATAGCTAGAATGTGAATTATTTGGTGTACAAGAGGGGACAATTTATCCAGCGAATAACACAAAGCCATTTCTGCAAGTAAGTACCAGACTGTAGCTTTACGCTAGCTGAAAATGGTTAGTCGCAGCAGGTTTAAAATCTCTGCTTGTATGAAAATAACGCTACAGTCAACAAGTAGTCTTGTCCTTGATTTTAGTAAAATACATCTCTAAGGATGCACATACCTTGCTATGTTCTTATGGGAAAAGAAATATCAGCTTATTTTAAATGTATCTGAGGATGGATTGAACCACTCTTGAAATGATTTTTTCCTGGTGGTTATAGTGGTAATCTCTAGATGACTAGCTCAGATGAAATGCTTAAATTACTTATTGATGGCTTTCTTTGGGTGGACAGCAATGCTGTTTTCCGCAACTGCATCACACTGATATGTACAATATTAAATTTAGACTATCTCTTTTGGTAAGAGGAAATATACGTATGTAAAAACATTGGTTAATATGTCATTAAGACTCTGCTTATTGAGCAGTAGAATGGGTATTTCTTCAGTTTAGAGAAAAAGTGAGTGCTTCCACTGCATTTTTCATTAATGAAAGGCTTAACATAGGAGAGCTAATTCAGTTGCAACAAAAAACATGTCTAAAGTCAAATAAATAATCAAACAAAGCATTTGTTTCCAACTAAAGCAGTGGGATGCAGACGAATGCAAACTAAAATATAAAGACTCAATGAGAAGCAAGGAACACTATTATATATATATATAAATACATGCCAGGTAACAACATGAAGGAAAGGAATTTTAGCTATCTAAGAAAAGACAGTAAGATGCTGAAATAGACTGAAGATAAGGAAGGTTACATTTTCTGTAACACCTCAAGCAAAAATACCAACGAAGCACAATGTAATGATTTGCTCCAGTGGACTTTGGTACCCTAGCTACACCTGGAGAGAGTGGCACAGTAGAAGGCAAACAGTGATGAACCATTAGCAAAGATTCTCTCCCCTCATCTCTCAGAGATGCAGCACTGAGAGCAGCTCCACTTCTGTGATGTGATCTGTTGTTCCTTTGGGCTCTATCACATATTTTCTATCAGATTTTTTGTGCTAGCTGTGCCAACCATTAAAGGATACTCTTTACTGCGTCAAGGCCTCTAAAATCACCCTTAGGGTTAAGAATCAGAGGCCCACAGAATAGAAAATGTGTGTCTTATTGGGCTTTTACCCATTCTTTGCTCATGCTCCACAAGCACACATCACAAGAACCCATCCCCCTAAAGAGCCTTTGAGGGCAGTACTGTTTGTGGGTAGCGTGGAGAGAATCTGCCATGAAAGGAGACTTTCTGTATGTAAATCTGGTGTTTTGGTTTCAACCATAGTTCTCTGCTCTTTTCCTCCTTGCTTTCTTTTCTCTTTTAGCTGATTTCGTATCTGTGTTCTTGGACAGGTTCACTTTGACACTTCCCACCACCATTTATGTGTGAGTGTGCAGATGTAAATGTCTGCATGGCAGCTGCCTGTACACAGGCATTCCTTTTTGTTTTGCTCCTGCACTTGTGTTTGACTCTTTCAGACTCTGCTGCTGTTGTAAGGTCTTATTTTAACAACAACAGCCACTTTCGTAGCATCGTATCCCACCATACTCTCTCTTGCTGACTTTTATGCTGTAGAGAAGAGGGAAAGCACAGTAAAAAGTAAATAGAGATATTGGACAGAGAGTGGAAGGTGCAGGATTGATGTAGTGAAATAGTCCCCTCCTGGTCATGTGCCAGTAATGCCTAAATATCAGACATGTTAGCGCCATGAATAAGCACATCTGGATCCATTTAGTTTCCTTCCCTTTTAATTTTTCTTACCAGTTAAAAGCATCATATCAGGGACTGAATTGAACTGAGGCATTTTTCATGCAGCATGGAACACTAGCTTGTAGTCATAGCTCATTTACAATTTAAGACATTAAAATGTTTCTTTTTCACATGAGCAGAGACTGCTGGCATCCACATTTTAGCTGATGTTGAACTTAATCTGAGAAGCTCAGGCTTGATTATGAGAGAACTAATCTAGTTTTGATTTACAGTGGAGTACTCTCAGGAATTATGATTAAACATGTTTGTAAAAGTAAAGTGAATCCACCCTCTGTTATGTGGTGTTAGAGGAATGACAGAAGCAGATGAAGAATGTAATAGATCAAAATGCTACATAATCACTTCCAAGGCTAACTCTTCCACCTTTTCTCAAATTTGTTAATACACCTCAAAAAGTAGAACTTAATGACTTCAGTAGAATTCTTTGCAGAGTAAGGTATACACAAATGCTAATCAGCAGTGCACCTGCCTGACCATAGCTGCATCTTTCAGACTTCGATATTCATGGTGATTATGGCAGTAAAACTCAGTAAGTAAAGCAGTAAATGTTTGGAGCATTCGTTAGTGATAAAATGCAAAAAAACCCAAAACTAACCCCAAATTCATTTTTTAAATCTGAGTGTGTGATGCTGTGGTGAGCCATGCCCAGTTTTCCCCCAGTTGTCTAGAACCTGATGGTACACCGGAATATTGCTGTTGATCTTGTGTAGGCAGTAACTGTCTTCCTCCAAACTCAAATTCCATGCTTTGTTTACTTGTGTCAGAAGCATGTCTCTTAGGGCAGTAATTTTCTTCTCTGTTTATTGCTATATACAGTATGATCAGTTTCTAGTAAATATGAATGTTACTGGTAAGTAAGCACGAATCCTAGTGCCTATTAAAAAATACGGTTACACAGAAACCTTATATATCCTAAGTGTTCTGTGAAGTGTGAATCTGCTGGCAGTGTGAGAGGCAGTCAGTCTTTATTGCTCTACTTGCAGATGATGCCATTTACTTTTTTTATAGTGTTGTAAAGACATTTTTCTCTACAAAATTCAGTGTTTCTTTGAAAACAGTTAAAAACTGCTTTTCCAAGAATTTGAACTTTTATATTTTAGAAGATTTGAATGTTACTATTTTCAGTTCTCAGCTGCCAGATTGTAGTGGAATGCTAACATGTGACTTCTCATGTTCAGTTGTTAGCTGCAGGCTGCTCTCTGCTGCTAGCTCTAGGGAGAATGAAATTTGACTGGAGAAAACAAGGACAGAAAAGGTGAATAATAACATACAGTTTTGAAGATTTTTAATTCTATAGTTTAGAAAGCATTCTTTCTATACTTATAAAAACCAAAACAAATAACTGAGTCCAGATACCAAGTAACTAATAATACAAAGCTATTTCTCATGCTCTTGGCCACCTGCTAACTTTACTTGGGTGATCTACATATAAATCTTACATGGCTAACGACTGTAGGTGAGCAGGCAGTCTGAAAGCCAGTTCCTAATGGATGTACGTCATCATCTCTCACTACAATCTACCTGGTATTAACTGACATTTTCAATGGCAGCTTTTAGCAGAAGGATTGAATGGATATAGAAATGAACCACTGTGTCACTGCCTAGAGAGATGAAATTACATAGGTGCACAAATGAGGCACCCTGATGTGGAGAACTCCTGATGAGGAAGCTTGAAATGTGGTGGATTTTATTTTTACTTGTTATCTGGCTAAGTAGATCTGTGTACATCAAGGCTGTCAATCAAGAACTTTTATCCATAAAAATTTGGAACGTGTTTTTGTATAAAAAGCAGGAAAATGAAGAAAATAAAATTTTATAAAATTATTTCATAAATGGCATTGTGCTACTGTGTTTCTGTCTTTTTCTAAACAAATATTCTTAGCTTATAAGTCAGTTTTTCCCTAACTAGCATTATAAAGTCAAGTGGAGATATTTCTAGCTTGGGGAAGTCCAAAAATACAGAATCTTGCTGAGATTTTAACAGTACAGGTTATGATGTACAAATCAGTATAGAGCATCACCCTCTTCTGGATTGATTTATTTTTTTTTTTTTAGTTCTATAATATTAATCTGTTAAAAATAAATAAAATCTGAATTTGGAAAATAAAGTATTCAAATATCAGGCTGGCATACATATGAAAAGTTCTGTGTAATTAAATTCTCCTAGTCTTATATTTCAAAGTAAAACTGTTCCTAAAGCTAAAGAACTTACCACAGACCACTGATTTGAGTATCAGTACTAACACTTTAACAGTTGCATCTTTATTTGCTGGTACATAAGCATCCTGTCAGGTGTACTACAAATACCTCTAAAACACAACAAAAAAACATTGTATCCCAAATTGACATGGGAGTGTAGACAGATGGAGGACAATGGGTTGAAAGATCAGTTTTCTGGGTGGTAGGTTTCAAAAAAGTTCATTAAAGTAGGTCCAGAGAATAGTGAAGTTAATGAGAATACATTCATTTACTTCATTAGCTTTGAAAAGACTATAATGAGTTTTAAGATAATGGTAACTTTGCAATAAATGTGGCTTTTCTAGTGTTAGATTTCTATCTTTGTCAGTTGTTAAATGGACAGGAAAAATAGCAAAATAGAACTTACCTGAGAACATCATCATGTGCTGAAAGTTCCTAGCAATCTTTTGTTTTCGACCCAAATTCAAAAGGAAAGTAAGTGGGTATATGTTGCAAGCTCTTGCGACAAAAACTGCCACCTAAAATGTAAAATGTTGAGGAAAATGGTGGACAAACTTCTGATAAAACCAGTTAACTTAAACCCAGCATTTATCCAAATTTATTTTAAAGGTGTAATTAAAATGAATATGAGATTATATTCCTTCATATTTTACATGTCAGATCTTTCTGGTTGCAACTCCATTATAGAACTGTTCAGTGGCAGAGACTGTCTTCCACAGACATCCTGGTTATATATTCATCATTACATATCCAACTTCAATCACTCCACTTCTACTCATTGCATTGATATCACATGTGACTTCATCTTCATTCCTGCAGTAAAATGGCCAACATCAATTGCAGAGATGGCATTATCGCCTAGAGCAGCAATCTGCAAAGAATAAATGTGCTTTTGGACATGATTATTGCTTTCTTATTTCCTGACAATTCATATTGTCTAGATCCAGCACTCTTGGGTTTGTTTTTTTTTTAATGTTTTTTCTTCAGTGATTTTTCTAAAGGGGTCCTCTCTGACTCCTGTGTGATGATCACAAAAGTTGTCTTAATTAGAAACATGAGGTTATTTCAGATTAAAAAAAAAAAGGAGACAATCAGAGCTCCTTATATATGTTTTTAGCATGTTCTGCCCTTTCCTTGTCTTGTGACTCTTAGGGCTTAGTTTTGGCATTTTTAGTCTGGAAGATGCTGTGGAGCTTAGAATAGAGAAAATACTTGAGTGGCAGTGTCTGTAAGTTTTGTATCTGCTGGGCTAAAATCTGCTTAAGGCTCCTATGGACTTGGGAGAACATGCATTAGCAGCGGTTGCTTCACATGTCCTGTGCAACCCTGTTGTGGTCTGTTGGCTCTTAGTGAGAGGAAATGATAGAGCCAGGTCCCTGCAGTGCTCTGCAGTACAGTCTCCACCTGGGGTGCTCAGTGCTGTTCCTACATTCAACTGTCTTCCCGTGCTAGGAGTGCAGGACACAGTACTGTACTCACATTATTGTGGTGGTGGGGTGGAATAGGCTATCGGGATCCTCTCTGCCATCTAACCCAACCTGTAGCCAAGGGAGCTGTGATGCAGTTCTTAGTATTCGTTTGGAAATGACAGATAGGAATTACTGCAAATAAAGAGTATGATCCCAACTTTCAAAGCTATTACAGTTCATCAAAAAGTGATAAGCAAAGGGCTGCTGCTCTGAGCCAAAAGAATCATTGTGTAAATTGTCAGTGTGAAAAGAATCTGTACCACTGTACAAGAAAGTAATAGATTTATTGAGAAACTATGGCAGATTTAGACACAGACTCTTCTTCTTACAAATCCTTTAGGTGTATATAAATCCATGTACACTGAAAATATGACATAAAAAAAAGGAAAGATTGGAGGAATTCAGAACTGTTTTATTTTTAAGGACTTAGTATCATTTTAGGTAGCTTTGGGGAAGTTCTGCTCATGGCACATGTCTGTCTGGTGGCAGCTCTATAGTTTGTGAGTCTGCACTGGCTCTGGACAGGCAAAAAGGTTTTGTGTGCTTGCACCTGTCCCAACTTGTGTCCCTGTACACATCGTAATTTCCCACCCCACTTGTAAACTGGTGGCAAAAGTTCCCCACCTGGATTAAAATTCTTTGCCTTATAGCAGATCTGCAAAACAGCAACTCCCAGAAGACCATGTGCTTACATGCATTGAGCCAGTTATTGAAATACATGTAATGAAGATGATTGCCTTTTCACTTGGCAAAAAAAATGATTTTTAGTATTTATTGGTTTGCTTGTTGACTTTTTTTTTTCACATGGAACACGTTCTTTATATGTATAAATATGTATATATACACACATACATGTAGATAGATACATACTTCTTTAAAGCAAAGGATACAAATGCACCAAAGATAAAAAAAGGATTGAAGATATGATTTTGAAACGTGAATAGTGCAAGTCCCATGTAACAGAAGATGACATTCTCAGCCAAAAAATTCATGAACTCGAACAACTTAAACGAGAGAGAAAGAACATAATTATGACTCATGCCTGTAATGAACTACTGTTTGCCACCAGGTTCCTGGGGAATACAGAACTGTTTAGATGAAAGGAAGAGAAATTGCACCTATTTCAAGGGTGGATTTCAAAACCATCTAATTTGCTATACCATATACATGGTGTCTTTTAGCTTTAAAAGTCATAGTTGCTTGCAAGTTTTTCTCCGATTTGTGTATGAAATCTTGACACAGACAACTGATGGAATATATAAACAGCAAGTAAGTTATACAAGCTTCAAGGCAAACTGTAAGGAAGTTGAGGGAATTTAAGCTCACTCTTGTTTACACAGGTGAGCCTGTGGAGCCACAGGGAGCTCCTGATTGCACAGTGGCTATGCATAATACAGTGCTGGATATGGGTTCACTAATGTCAAGAGAGAAAAAACTAATTCCTAAATGGACTTCTAAGTACCTATGCCCATAAAATATAACATGATCTTTTTTTAATTACCATGAATATTATGCTGCAGATGAAAACTTCTGTTGCGGTGTAGGAACATCAATATCAATTACTCATTTCAAACCAAACTATTTAATATATAATTTAAACATATTATAAAATAAGCATAAAATACATGACCGTGGTATGATTTCTCCTGTGAAAAAACAAGTAAAGCCAAAATATTAATTTGCCTTGAGGGGATGTTCTTGATTGCATCTGCAGCTGATTCTATAAAAACTAATAATATAAGTTTTCATATTTATTCAGATCTGGAAAAAATCAATCGTTGCTGCCAAATAACTACAGAAGAGAGAAAGAAAAGGTCTTTTAACTTCTGAAGTTACTTTTGGGCTCAGGAGACTATGCTAACAAATCCTTATACAGAATTAGGGCTGAAGTTTGTCAATCTGTCTACAACCAGTCATAAATCTCTATCCAGAATGTTACTATGGAGATACTTTATTCATCCTCAATGGGCTTATGTATTTTTTGTAATATATTTGTGCTTCTAAAAATAAATATCCAATAACAGTCACTGAGATCTAACAAAGGAAAAATGAGAGCTGTCAACATTATTATTTTAAACAAATTTCAGAAGCAAAATGGCATAAAACCTACTAGTATATGGAGAGATTTGGGCCCATGGCAGCACCATCAATTATCCCAAACAAACATTCCATAACCCCCATTTTGTGCTGCAGTGCTGAACAACATGAAAACAAACGAAACATTCACCAGTTAGTGGACTTAAATTATTTCAGTTAAATTTAAATGAGAGAAACCAGTTGTCGAAAACCATCAAAGTATGTGATCTTGTGACCCATAGAAATTATTGTGATAAATCTTTGCATTTCCATTTTGGGAGCAAACGTTCCCACTTCTTTGTGGGAATGTCGTTTGACACATTTTTCTAATTCTTCAAAAAATGCATGAGGAGCATCATGACAAGATATACATATATATATATACATGCATAGATGTATGTGTATATACATATGCATATATATACACATATATAAAAGTATTTGTGTATATATAAAAACCTTTTGATGGAAGTATACTGTTATGAGGAGCCACAGCAGCATACTTCAGTTGTTGGGGTAAGATAAAGGTGCTCCAGTGGTTTTAAAGTTGAATGATATTTCACTCTTCATTTATGAAATCTTATTCAAGACTTAAAGAAATGTAAAGTAGATGTATTTTAGAAACTGAAGTTTCTTTCTTATATTTTCCAAACTTTTTGTTGACACAGTTTTAAAGGAAAACAGATTTTGCTATATCATTATCTCTGTTGTATACTCTTTCTCAGTTATCTGTAACAGTAAATTCAAGCTTGGTCTTGCCCAAAGTGCACTGGGACAATGTTTTCTGTGCCCCCATCATAGGTCTAATTGTTTTCTTAGCCTATATTTGCAGTGTACATAAAACTTTCTAGTCATTCATCTATGTCAGATACATGCAACATTGTAATCTATTGCAGTTCTTGAATCATATTTGCTGGACACCAACTTTGGTTTGTTTGCAAGAGCAAATATAATCCAAATCCCTCTTTCCCTCCTTTTTCTTTTTTTCTTCACCTGTGAATTTTGGTGCTGGGCTGTGCTGGTTTCCCCTTACCCCTTATCTCTAGTTTTCTTTGCTTTTTGATCATTCACTATCAGAGCACTGCCTACTTGCCAGAAGATTAAATCCAGATTAGTTTCCTTCCTTTGTACAGTAAAAAGCCAGGTACTATTTCAACAGCTAATTTAGAGAAGGCTCCTTCCTATTCTAGGCACAGCCATGATACGGTCTTTTATGAATGATTCATCTCTTCAGAACGGTAAAACTAGCTTGGTAGCTTCATTCAGAGTCTTTTGTATTCCTTATGTAGTTTGCTCCTCCTTTTTAAAAAGTATATCACTCTTATGACACATCTATTTATGGAGTGCAACCTAACCAAATTTCTCACCCTGAGTTAATATAAAGAAAAATAAATTAAAAAAAAAGCAACTGCTTCAGACCAGTTATTGTCATAAAAGAAGTGATATCTGTATCCCTTTTCATGGGACATAATTCTTGTGGAAATAACACAAAATGTATTCATTGTCCTTCAGACTTCACTTTTATTCCTGTATTCAGTGTAGTGTTTTATTTAGTGTTTCTTCAACTTCTGTGTTTTTTTTCAACAGCAATACAGAGCCCATGAAGATACTCTATTAAGCACTTAACTGTCAGTGCTGTGCAGCATAAAACCCATCAGAACAGAACAATTTATTCTAAAGAGATCTTCTGAAAACCATGTTAAGAAAGAGCCTCCATAGATTCATTTTCCCAAATAGTTATGCTTTTCACACGAAAGTTTTTGTCACCATTTTAAAAATGAGATGTCAAGACCTTTTTATGAGAAGCAGAAGAATAGGAGGAATAGGTTTTCATCTGGAATTTATAATTTCCTGGGACACCCAAGTAGTTCCAAGAAGAATTGCAACCTCCACATTAACCTCTGAGAAACATCCTTTTTTGTCTGAGGGGCGATAATGAACATGATATTGTCCATGGTCTGCTTAAATGCCATTCAGAAATGTTCCTTATTTTGAATATATGTACTTGCAAGTGGGATTACTTGCTTTCAAAAAAAAAAAAGAAATTAAGATTAGAATCCTAGATATTAAGTCCTTGGAATATTTTGTCTATAACCATAAATTCCTTTCCCTTGCCTCCCACACAGATAGCTAACTTCTTTCTACTCTAAATGAAATTGGCATTAAATTGCTCATACGCTGCCATTAGTTTTCCCAAGGCTATTGGAAAATTATGCTAGAAACCATTTATAACATAAACATAGTAATAAGACATTTTTTTTCTGTATAAAACTAAAACCCCTCATTTGTAATGTGTCATTTCTACATTTCCACTAAGTCTATAAATCTGCTGATAGCTTTAAAGTAAGAGTTGTAATAAATCACCAATGTCAACACATTGCAGAGTAGAGTGTTTACAAAAACACCAGTTTAGAACCAATTCAGGCACTTAAGCTTAGGGTCTTAGCTCAGTGGGTTAGCGAAACTGATACTTGGTTTGCTTTGTTTATTTTCTCTGTAAAAAGTCGATATTACAAAAGATTAATGTTAGAAATATCTATTAAAATAGACATAATATTTATGCATTCAAAACCACATCATTCACCAAACATGCTTAGTTTTTCTGTTATTCTTAGTTATTTTAAGTACTAAGAGGGATATGCAAAAAATCAGCTTTGAGTTGGGATATTCTTCTGAATTTGCAGTTCATTTCTCACTGGCAGAGCAAAGAATCAGTCCAGGTTATCTACACCTTAAGACTTGCTTTAAGTTTATCTTATAGTGATGTTTTATTTTAACTCAAGTGAAAAATTTAATATGATATAAAAACTGTATTAGTTTTATCTTTGGAGTGAGATAAGGGAAGTGCTTTTTCTCTTCTCCTTCCTTCCCTCCACCCTCCTTGTGAAAATGCCAACTACCATGATTTTTCTTAGATTGTAAAAGCTTTTATTATAGTCTAATTGCTTTATTTAATCTTTCTCTTTTGATTAGAGATTTCAAAATCAGAAGAAGTTTTGAATTTGAACCTCTTGCCTGAAATCCTTTATACAACTATAATGAATCTTCACAACACAGTGATATAATGCTCATTTCTAGAATAACATACTTAGATGAATCAGCAGAAGTAACTCAGATTCATGAAGGAATACAAACTTGTTTATGAAGTTAATTTTGATATCCAAGCATGTGTGACTGTAAACTTACAAACCCACTATCAAAGAGAGATTCTTACAAGATCTTTTATGCCCTGCGGCAAAATTCTGGCCTTTTTTATCAGTAGGATTTGCTACTGAATTAAATGAATTTCACCCCAACAGATTTAAGGAAGGCGCTCAATAACTTTCTATTTCCCTGTAGAGCTGGGAGGTTGAAAAGATTCCTAAGGCCCGAGGAAGAGCTAGGAAAGTAAAAAGAGAAAGAAATAAAGAAAACAGCAGCACAAAGCGACAGGAAAAAGCCAGCAAGGTTTTGTATTTACCCAGTATAGATTAGTCTTTTCTGGCATAATCTTTACACTGCCATGAAAGTTCTGGTACAGGGACTCTTCATTAGGGACTATAGTGATAGGACAAGTGGTAATGGGTTCAGACTTACATAGGGGAAGTTCAGGTTAGGTATAAGAAAGTTCTTCCCTGTGAGGGCAGTGAGTTGAAACGAGATGATCTTAAGGTGCTTTCCAACCCTAACTGTTCTTTGATTCTGTGAATACACTTCTGACTAGCAACAGTAAAGAAAAAACATTGGCCCAGACATCATGGCAAATCCTTTCTATTATTAAAAATGCTATAGGTTTTGAATGGCTTTGCTGGGTAGGAGAAGTTTAATTAATTAGACAGCTAAATTAGAATCTTTTTCTTGTTCTAAACTACTTGGAGCAATGAAAATCAGAGGGAAAATAACTTATGAAGTAAAACATTCAGAACTTCTAAAAAGGTTTGACCTCAAG